TTCGCCCGAGACCTAGCGCCCTTTCTGGACAAAAGCCAGGTTGGGGGCCTGAATCGAGAGGCCGGGGGGCTTGGGGCAAGGATTCGCAAGTACTGTTTTTTTAATTCAACCGCCCGCAAGAAGAGCATCTAAGTGCCGACCTTGCTCTCCTAGGGCTCAGGTTTGGGGCTGTGGGATGTTTTCTTGAAGTGCCCAGATGTGGTTTCGAAGGTTTATGGTGGGGGGTCCATCAACACAAGGTTCAAGTGATGACCAAACATCTTTTGTGTAGCTGAGCCCTACTTCTCCAGGGAGTTTTCAGGTGGGTAGTTGCCAGGTGGGTACCTTTACATATAGCTTACATAAGTTATAAGTTTTATTTTGGGGTACAACGATTGTATAAGGGCTAGGTAAGGCTTATATGGGGGAAACTGCCCGCCTGAGATTTCCTTAGAACTTAGTCCACCCTTGGGTCGGATCCAACCTGAGGAGAGAAGCGATTGGCTAAGCCCAAGTATTAGGATCCCTGCTCTGGAGACCAGCGAAACAAGTTGCGCACCATTTCCGAATGCTCACTAGACTACCATTGATGTCTGCTTAGCTTGTCGAAGGTATCAGCAAGCAGTGTTTCTCATTGACCTACATAGCATTAAATCCAGGGCTTCTTCTGGAAGATACTGCCAGCGTCAGGCGGCTGCAAGCGTTCAGCTTCAAATGGGCGGAAGATACATCCTTAAAGGACGAGATAAGAGTGACGGCTATACGGGCGTTGGTTTACAGAAGCTTATGGGGATTTAACCCAGCAGCGTACAACCCCCAACACCAAAACCGTTTACCCTCCCGAAGCCCGTCACTACCGACCTCAATTCTTCCAGATACTCACTGAAGAGCCCTATCAGTAAATGCACAGTATTCCGCTGTGTCTGGCATTCAGATTTTGGAATGTATGTGACGAATACTGCTTGGAGGTTGGTTGGACTTAGGAACTTCTTCTAGCTGGGGCTATAACCCTATAAATAATTTTGGTAGCTTTTTAAAGGGCAGGGAAGGGGATTATACCAAGGATATAGCCCGGGACTAGACTCTTGGCAGGCAGTTCGGCTCCTGGCACTTCTTGCAACAGCAGCCATGCCAAAAGAATGCTCCGCAGTGGGATAGGATGGGGGATCCTCATGAGATCCAGGGGCGATGGGTCAATTCTCTAACATGGAAGAAGATTGGTTCGTATATGTATAGGCTCGTGATGCTCGTTTCTCAGCAGGTTTCTCAGCAGTCATGGGAAGCTAGGCATGGGAATGTTGACCACAAACTCCTTCCATCAAGACCTCCCGTTCCCCTTTTGTCTCCAGCATTTGCTTTACAGCTGGGTGTGCGGACCTGTGATTTGCAGGCTTCCCTAGCATTTGGGAACCCTTGTGGTCAACTTTTCCCATTGGCCTGATCCAATCTGCCCTTTGCACAGCATGCTCCAACGCAGTAATTATCACAAAGCCGCTCTATCCCAAAAAAGTTCTCACATACCCGAACACGAGCTTTTTCTGTGGCCCACACAGCCAGATGCGACCAGCAACCAGCAAGTTAAACCTAGGCCCTGAACCCTCTATTGTTCTATAAACCCCAGCTTTAATTTTATGTTCCTTCTTCTTTTCCATTTGATTCACAATTATTCGAGTTGAGTAGGCTCCTACGTACAATCCCTATAAACCCCTGTAGAGAAACAGTGTCCAAGGAGTTGCCCCTGTGTTTTTCCATGTGATTCTCCATTCCCTGCGTCTGCCATGCTCCATGCGTCCTTTGGTACCCTACGGATTGGAAGAATGTAAACATACGTGGAAAGGAGTGGCCAAGGTTTAGGGCTTAGGGCCTTCAAGCATCATGAAACGCGCCTGCCCTGCTTTCAGTCATGGACCAAGCTGGCGCTGAAACCTGCACCTCTCACATGAAAGATAGGGTTCCTGGGCCTGACCCCATGGGGGAATGGCCGAGATGGAGACAGGCTTGGTGTGCTCCATTTCGGCCTTTCCAGGGCATGGTGACCTAAAGTTTGCCCATGCATTGCCCTGCATGTGGGAGCTTGCCCTCAGTCACTCCAAGCTCAGCCCCCGACTGGCAGAATGGACTATCAGCATTGCGTAGGCTTCGCGCTGACTCCTTGCAACAAAATGTGCTGAATTTTGGGACGGCAGTGAATGCATGCCGAAGGGGAACTCAGTGGACGCTTGCCATCACTACTCTGAAGGAAGTTGCCAAATTTAATCTGCGAACCTCTGTGATTGCATACAACTCCGCCATCACGAGCTGCGCCAACAAGCGCTGGCTGGTGGGGCTGGCACTTCTCTCGGACCTCTGCATGCAGGACTTGCAAAAGAGCCTGCAGTCTAGCGGAGCGGCGATCTCTTTGTGTGATGTTGAAGGTCAGTGGCAAGATTCAATGCAGCTTTTGCATACCTTTGCGCGCTTGAGCATGCAACGAGGAATTATTCCCTTCAACTCCGCAATGAGCACCTGTGGGTCTCAGGAAATGTGGCAGCTTGCAGGCCATCTCCTTCAAAGCGTTCGCGCTTTTTCCTTGGAGGCTTCGTGCATCTCACACAACACGGCTATGAGCGCTTGCTCTGAAGCAGGACGCTGGCATCTGTCCTATTCCCTACTGGGCAGGATGCAGCAACAACTCGTCGAACGAACCGTGGTCTCCTACGGTGCACTGCTGGATGCCAAACTGGAGGTGCAAAGCATGTCTTGGTGGCTGCGGGCGTTGGCACACCTTGAGGTCGGGACAAAGTGACTTTGAACCCGGAACCTCCCCAGCGAACAGTTACAGCATGTTACACAACATAACCATTGCACCCATCTTTGGCATTAGTGCGCAACGCTGTTTCCATCATCCCCGGTTATTGATATGGACAGGCGCCCGAGCTATTCTCATCCTGGATGTCGGCTTGGGCCCGCATACAAATCCTCAGTCTGAGCTTCACTCAGCAGCAAGCACCACATTAGAAGCCTTGAATCCTCAACCCTAAGCCCCAACCTCCCTCTTGATCCTCTCCTGCAAGGACCTTGGCCATTCAGCTTTGCAGGCGAATCTGGGTTGCTGTTGAGGAACTTAGATTAAGTTTGCATGCTATAGCTATATACTACATGATAGGGCTATCTTATTAAGGGAATTTCATTTAAGTTCCTTGACAGCAACCCAGGAATGTGGTCACCTGCACTGCGGCCATTAGCTCCCAGGCGCCTGGCCAATGGCTGCGCGCATGTCTGCTGCTGGAAGCGTGCAGCCTGAGACTTGGTTGCTGGATTCTGTGAGTAGGTTGATCCCACTGAAAAAGGGTCCTAGGTACATTGTATCTAGATGGATATAAAGGGTCCCATGCATATGGTAGATACCTTGGAGCTAACCCAAGGTTTTGGTAAGGACAACCTCTACAAGCGGCAAGTGTTTTTCTTCTGAGAGGCCCGAATTCAAAGCCACAAGCAGAGAAACCCACCAGCCCAGGAAAAGGATCAGGAGAAACCTTTTGGCCTTCAATGCTGCAATCAGTGCATGTGACAGAGACGGCCGTTGCTGGGCAGTTACATGCAAAGTTGTTTCAGGTAATCCTTGAGCCCCAGAAAGGACTGATTGGGGGCTTCCCCTACATGGAGGTGTTACATGTGATTGAGCTATTCTGTTATTGCGGCTTACTGTGTTGCAGAGATGACAGGAATGTACTACTAGGTATGGTGGGTAGTGGTGTGTATCACGCTGCATCACGAACCGACATGGCGATTCGCTGCTGTTGCCGTTCGTGGTCTGGTGGTTGCGGACATGGTGTTCATGATGATGCTGCTGCTGTTGCTGATGGTGATGATGATGCTGATGCTGCTGGTTGCTGCTTGTCATGTTTCAAGCCGTGGCGACGGCGACAACGAGGACAGTTCCTATGTTTGTCATTACGGCCCCCACAAATCAACGGCCCCTACAAATCACTACTACGATTCGTGCGACTTTGCAGGATCGATTGCCATGGCAAAAAAAACTGGTGGTCATGTCATGGGCAAATCTCGAAATAAAGGTCCCCAGAAAGGCCCCATAGCCTGGGTTATAGTATCAGGGCTTCCTTGTCATAGCTCACTTGTTTTAAGTTCCTTAACAACAACTCAGTAACATTCAGGCCTTTTTGTGACCACCCCAAGCATCCAGGCTTTGAGAGGTCCCTTTGGGTTTTAGGGTTTAGAACTCCGAAATCCTGAGCCCAGACCCTGGCCCTGACCCCTAACTCTAGAAACCGTATTTCTATCTAGTTGCCGCAGTAGACCCAAGAAGATCACCCAAAGCAACTACAAGATTGTAGCAGAATGGGAATACAGGAGGACCTCCATGAATCAATCAATCAAATTGGAGAGCAAATTGAAGGTGAATGGACTCTGCAATAAAATAACCCAGACCCCTGATTAACAAATCCCCTCTCCTTAATAGGGACCATAGTAAGGATCCTAAGATTAAGGCCCTTACAAGGAGGAGGGTCTATTAATCATGGGTCTACATTAAACTCTAAACCCTGATGGGTCTACATTAGGATGGAAGCATAAGCTGCTAATAGACTCAGGTTGGGAGGCCGCTTTGCATTTGCTTTGCGAGCTGCAGCCGCGCGGTTTAGGATTTATATAGGACCCATTGGGGTTATACTGGGATAATGGACAATAAAATGGAAACTACTAAAATGAGATTATGTATGGTTTAGGCTGTACGGTATGTTGGGGTTATGTAATGGAAATAAAATGGAAACTTAGGTGTTTAGGGTTTAGGGGCTTAGGCTGCCCCAGCGCAGCATCGTACTTGTTGTAGGAGTGGAGTGGAAGTAGGGTGTTCATCATGGCTCCCTGAGGAGCGTTGGTGAATTCATGTAGTTGCGCAATTTGGGGGACCATAAGTGTAAGTCTTACCATAGTGGATGATTGGGTTTAGGGTTTTCGTTTTGAGGATTAGGGCTTATCGTGTAGGGTGAGCGCATGGCTATTTCGTGCGACCCTACTATGAGGCAAATCGGGGCGGATGTGATCTCCTACAATGCGGCCATCAGCGCTTGCAATGCAGGTGGTGAGTGGTGAAATTTTTGAACGTTCAGTGATTAGGATCTTCGGGAGCAGAGTGAGAACTGGAGATTGCTGTACATGGTTGAGGTTCAGCAGCGTGCAACACAGGCCAAGATCTATCAAGGTAGTTCTTTTTCGCTGGCACGCTTGCAAGAAGACAACCCAAAGTGCGGAAAGGTGGTTTCTCCGTGAGGACCTACCTGAGGTTCTGTAGTCAGGTTGTTCATCGTAGTGCCCAGCCAGGGATTGTGTCGTGATCCCAGTATGTAGCCTTGCGGCCTTACGGTCGCACTATGGGGCAAATAGTGTCACTTTCCTTTTTTTGCATGGACTGTGTGGAGGTGCCAGCCTATCGCAAGTTGTCTCTTCTCTGCCGTTTGGCTGAGGTGGTATGTGGCAGCAAGCGGTGGACCTTCTGATGAGCTTGGACGAGTGCATGATCCAGGCTGACACACAGCTGCATTGGAAACAATGGTTTTTTCCTAAGACCTCAGACTGCACTGTAGAGGTCTGGTCTTCAAATAGCTTGAAGTCAGTTGAAGACTTGGGGGTTCACGTTTGTTGAAACCCCAGTAGCATACTAAAGAATTGCGGTGTTGGCTTGCTTAGACTCCCTTAACAGCCTGCCCAAACCATCAAGGATCGAATATCCTACAACGCCGCGATCAGCGCCTGCGAAAAGAATCAGGAGTGGCAGCTTGCAGTCTTAAACCGTGTCGCCCCCAACTGCCAAGACTTGCACCCGAGACCCTTAGGCGCAAAAAACCTGGGACCTAAACCTGGAAACACAATAGGATGCCGGAGAATAACTACAATGAACAGGAATGGCTACTGGCTTTGCGGCTTCTACTGCAGGCTGGAGAGCGCCGTGCCTTTCACAAACTGATATTGTGGGTGGAGGACATTTTGAAACAACTCATGTCTACGCTATACTCTGAGCCCTGCGCGTTTGGGGGATCGTGTGTGTTGCAGGGTTTCTCACACCTACCTAAGTGCTCAGATGACTTGTGTTGTCCAGAGTTGTATGGCAGAGTATGACTCAATCCTGCATTGGTTGGCACAGGAATCCCTGTGAAGAAAGGCTTCGAGAGGCTAAAGATGCCAGCTTATGTCTGATCAACATATACGCCATGCCTTCAAGCGAATAGATGTACCACTGGGGATCATGTCGCATGGGCGTGGACGACTTGCCTCCTTGCTAGACTGCTAGACCCACCACTATAGCAACGCGGACACCAGTACTAGGACCTGCATGTGCCCCACATGTAACGCACCATTAAACCTTTGATGAACTGGAACATGGTTGCCACATGAAAGGTTACCAGCAGTCCCTGCCAACCGCAATTTTGTATTTGGTATTTGGGTACCTTGGCTCCTCAGAGCATGTTGTGATAAAGTCAGCTTGTGATGAAGTGTTTGGAGATTTCGACCGCGAAAGAAAGCGCACCCAACGCCCAAGCTTCCCATTAGTCATGGTCGTTCTCGCGCTGGTTAAACTGGACTGTAAACTTCCTGTTTTTGGTTGAGAATGCGGGAAGATAGTCCTTGTATAATCCCCTTATTAACGATTCCTTTATTCCAGATTAAACCCCTTTAAGTAGAGTTTCTGAGGCATTCAGCTGGGTATCATCACCTACAATGCTGCCATCAGCGCCTGTGAGAAAGGCCTGACATTCCCACACAGGGTTGATAGAAGTAAGCTGCACGTAAACTCCGCAGCATCCATTATTTACAAATCGTTTTGGGAGAGCTGGGTCCCTAAATCCTAGATTTAGGACGGAAAAGGAGCGGCTAAAGCAACAACTAAATCTGACCTTTCGCAACCCTCAACATGCACAAGCTTCTCAACCCCAATTTCTTCCAGCAACTTAATTTCGGCGCAGATTCCAAGTAATTGTGTAGAAGCCTGAAGAACTACCAATATGATTCCCCGAGCAGTGTACTTCTAGACTTACGCTAAAGAACAGATAGTGCTGCCGGGGTGCCGGGAAATTGCCAGTCCTTGTCTCCCATCATTCCCATCATAATCTCCTCTGGTGCGCTTTCTTGTAGCCTGGGAGCCGGATGCGGGGGGTTCTGGGAAATTGCCAGTCCTTGTCTCGCATCATAACCTCTTCTTGTCTCCCTCCGGTAGTCCTGGCAACGCTTAGTTTGCAGTGGTTTGCCCTTGTTTTGTCTCGTCTCCCAGCATAGTCTCCTGATGCGTCAATGCCTGTGATTTGGGAATCGGATCGTCCGTGTAGCGGCGGTCTTTCTTTGTCGCCCCTCTCGACTCCCATTACAATCTCCGCTAGTTCCCCCTTCTTGTAGCCTGAGAACCTCATGGTGTGCAAGCAGTCTGTCTTACCCCCTGGTGGTGCCAATGTCACATACTCTTCAACTGCTTGGGGTAGACGTTGCTAGAATTTCCTTAACCCCTGTTATTTCAATACAATATACCCCAAAGCCTTTTCTAATCATTTTGGTCCCTACAGCGGGGGAGGAAACTTTTGTCAAGGAAGTTTCGAGCCCAAAGCCCGGTGGAAAGAAAGCCTGTGCCCCTCGAAGGAAAACACCGGACTTCAGTAGCGGCATTTAGGGCTTTTGAATTTCCCTAAGGTTGCAGACAACACCGATCCAAAGCCAGGTTTGTAGGGTTTTAGGGTTTCAAGGCTTAGGGTTAGGGTTTAGGGTTTAGGGTATTGGGAGAAGCTCTACAAAGCTTTCGGTCTCGAAATTCGAAGCAGGCAAATGGCAAATAAACTTAGATTTTCCTAGAGGAAAACCCTCATCGACCGTTGAACTCACCCAGACACTTCTCTCTGGCATACCATACAAAAGTCTCCCCAAAAAAGCCTACAACCCATCTCACAGGCTCTAGACCGAAGTCCCTCCTGCGGTAAGGTTCTAAGGTTTGAAGTATGGACCCCTAACATGGGCCCTTAGGCCTTCTGAAGGGGTTCTAGGGACTTGTTGGGGTACGTATAAATTATATAGTAGGTATATTAAGGATTTCAGTGTTGAGGGCCCAAACTAAGGGCCCATGGTTTCAACCTTAGATCCCTAAACCCTAAGCCTTAAACCCCAAACCCCTAAACCTTAAACCCTAAACCCATGGTTTCAACCTTCGACAGGTGGGCAGTGGGAGCTTGCCCTGCGACTCCTTTCCGAGGCCTTTGAAGGTCGTCCCTGGGCTGGATGCGTTTAGGATTAATGGTTTAGGAGTTTAGGGTTTAGGCTTTAGGGTGGAGGGTTTGGGAATTCAATTAAGAAGAAGATGGAAGATGAAATGCAATCAAGGGCCTGAATGCGGGCTTACAGTGTTTAATGTAGAGGTCTCAATAATTGCATACATTGTTTTGTTGTAATCCTTACGCGATTATGGTATAGCCCCATGCTAATCGTGAAGGTTGTTACAAGAGCCTGTGAGGGACTGATCAACGATTTCAAGGGAGTAGTTGGTTTTGAAAACCAGAAAGTCATACGCTCCCATGAAACTACAGGATAAATGTGTTCATGGATCTTATGATGCCGAGATGTTGCCGAAATATGGGTTATCCACCCAAAGCCTCCAAATTCGTTGGCCTAGCCTGTTTAAATTCGTTGTAACAAACTTTGGCTTATAATGTTATCCGTGTTGAAGTCAGCAGTTAGACGCTGTTCTGGTTGCAACTTTCCCTTCAAGCAAAGCAGGTCACCCCCGTGCGTGATCCTCTTGTGAATCATCTACGCCTAACCTGCCACAACCACCCAGGCCGTTCCACAGCACCACACCCTAAACGCTGAATCCTAAATAGTAGTTTCCATTTTCTTTTTCAGTATCCCAATACTATCCCAATATTACCCAAATATAATCCCAATGTTACCCCACATATATATATATATCATATTGGCACTAAGACTGGTAAGATGCATCAAGAAGGCAAGGGAGGGGCTCTCGCCGTAACATGTAAAACGCGCAGCCCTGTAAAGTAGATACTTCCGAGATGCCATGCATATACCTCTATGTGCACTATCAACTATCTGGATGTTTCCAAGAATCATCCGCCATGTATATACATGTTATACTGCCTATGATTGGGACCCCCTGGAAGGGATTTCTAAGCTGTGGAAGCCGAGGGGTCGATCCCCAATTAAGACCAAAAACCTATACATCCCTATATTGCCACATGATCGCCTTTATCCCATCTAAAGGGACTCCAATATTTTGGAAACCCCCATCTACCTACCTCAGCAGGATTACAACCAAGCTTTTTAGCCTCTGAGGCTTGCGGCCACAGCTCACAAGCTTCAATGCAGCCGCCAGCGCCTGCGCTAAGGGCCTTCGCTGGCAGGAGGCTTTGCCAGAAGCTTCGAGTCTGGGGTGTAGTGTATAGGGTTAGAGATTTAGAGTTGGGGCTGTAGGGCTTGGGGTTTGGTAGTTGGGATGCAGACGGTACGGATTAGGGTTCAGGGTCTGAGGCTTGGAGTTTAACACCTAGGGCTTTGGGCTTATGAGTTGAGGGCTTCCAAGACAGTGGAGGCTTCTTGGCAGATGCATGCGAGGGCTTAGTTGGGGTCCAGTCCAATCTGATCCTAGATTTGTGCATACCAGTCCGTGGTGTATCTCCCCAGGCCTCTACATCATACCCAGCAGCATTCTGCGATCTAAATCTCTTTGAATATACGCAAGCATGTCTTATACGTGCATAGGCACGTACATATATACACAGATAGCATAAGTTCATGCCACTTCCATCCACTTCATGGTGCATTTCCCCCAAAACCCTAAACACCCTAAACGCTAAACCCTAACCCCCCCCGCCCCAAGAGAAGGCAGCAGAACTTTATTCGATGGGTCAGGCGGAGGCTCTGCTGGAAAAACTCGATGCAGCTGGTCTCCGCGCTTCTTGACGAACAACTAGCGATAGCAGGATTTTGGGTTTAGGGTTTAGGGTTATGGGTGGCCTGTGTGGTGAAGAACCTACTTCTTGGGATGTTTGTTGAGAAATGCTCTTTGGGGAGGTTCTTGAAACATCAACCCTACAATCCTGAACGGGGGCTGCTATAAGCTCTCTCTGCAATAGATTCCCGACCCTGAAATCTCTGAATCCCTACACCCCAGAAGCCCTAAACCCTAGATCCACAAACTAGCCCCAAACTTCTAAAACCCGAAACATCCAATAACCAGGTATGCACAGATCTCTCTCTCTATAGATATATATATATATACATACCTATATAAATGCATCTATATTACTCCCATTTCCCCTTTCAGGAAATTCAAGCCCAAGGTTCATCAGCTGGCTTCCAGGGGTTAGGGATCGAGGGTGTCCTTTCAAAGTCGTTGTAGAGCGTCTTTAGGTTTTGGGGTTTTGGGACTGGGGGTTTAGGGTTTGCAAGACTTCGAGGTTCCATTTTAGGGAGTCTCTATGGATAAGGACCATCGTAGACCTGGGTGTACGCTGAGGCTGCCTGCTTTTGGAATCCCCTATGTGCGCCATGAACCCATAGCTTCCTCAACGCAACACCTCCACCTCCATAGCACGGCAAACTGGGAAGCCCAAGCATGAGTAGTATGTTGTTGGGGTTGAGGGTTTAGGGATATAGGGTTTGGGGTATTGTCAAATGGTCACTGTAGACAAACGCCAATAGCCAGGCTTTACCGCATTCTTTTCAAAGTTAGTCCCTGCAATAAGCCCCAGGCACGCCTCATGAAGGGGTAGAAAACCTTGTGAGACTCCATGAACTCATTCAGAACACTATTGTTGATGGACAAAATCCTGCATGACTTCGGATGCCCAAAGCCTTGGGAATTCCGGTATATTGCGTGGTATAAGTGATGTAGGATTTAGTGCATCAACAACATGAAGCCCTCAACAGCACTCAGGGCGATGTGGTCTCCCTGAC